TCCAATGACAGCAACAACTACGAGTTGGCGGTGCAGTTCTTGAAGAAGGAGTTTTTGAACAAAGACAAGGTTGTTGAAAATCACATCAGAAAGATCTACGAACTACAAGCCCCTCCGGCACGTGACCTAGAGGCTGTACGCAAGTTCATGAACACAGCTCGCACATCCATCTATGAGTTGAAAACCTTTGGGTATGATGCTCTGGATGGCGACTCACTAGGCAGCCGGATCATAAGTTTTCTTCTATGGGAGAAGCTACCAGCAAACTTCAAAAAACGGATGGACACAATGACACCCACAACAGCACAGTTGCTCGAATGCTATGGTGACATCCTCCGAACACTTGAGAGACTACCAGAAAAGAAACCACACTCAGCCTCTCAGGCGTCAAAGCAAACTGCTCTGACCAGAAAGTCGAAGACACCTGCTCACACAACTCAACATGCACCCATGAAGAACATCAGCACATTTCAGACTGATACACAGAAGCAGGCTCTGAAATACAAACCATGCAAACTGTGTCAGGGCACACACTCGATGCTGAAGTGTAACTCGTTTCAGGACGCAACAAAACGTCGTGCACGGTTGGCCGAACTGAAACTGTGCACAGCCTGCAGTGGTCAACACAGTTTGTCCAGCTGCCCCGGCAAGGACAAGGGATTGAACTACCCATGCACCATCTGTGGAGACAAGTCGCACATTACTGCACTTTGTGTTCCAGGAAACTCCACCCAGAGTCGACTCTGCTTGATGAGCGAGCAGCACGGCCGCCGTTCACTGCTGCCGACGACGTCAGTGGTCATCTGTGCCTGTGGAGAAGCAGAAGTGGCCAGAGCGCTGATAGATCATGGGAGTCAGGCGAGCTACATCAGTCAGGCACTGGCAGAGAAGCTGAAGCTGGAGGAGAAGGGACACGAGGAGACGTTCACAGTGAAGACATGCATCGGGACAGAAGAGAAAAGACACCGAGTCGTCACCTGCGAGATCGCAATCACACCGAAACGCATGATCAAGGCAGAGTTCCTCATCGATCCAAACATGGACCTCAGTTACAATCTCCCAGGCGTATCACGTGCGGTGAAGCAACTGCAAGATGAAGGCGTCATACTGGCTGACTGCTTCTACAGAGATCAAGAGACTGACGACATCGACAACATCCACTGTCTGCTGGGCGTCAACGTGTTGTCTGACCTCACCCCTCTCCGGACAGTCAGCCTGGGACAGAGTGTCGCCTACGAGGTCGACAAAGGGCACATCATCTTCGGAGATCTGGCTGGTCTGGTTCCAGACCACCTGTCTCACCTGTCTGGTCCGACAAGTGAACCGACGCCCGAGGATGAGGAAGAACTGCTACAAACGATCAACGAGACCAACATCAACATCAAGCAACAAGATCAGCATCGAACAACACCTGAAGAACAAACTGAAGCCAGCACGGTAGGACAGCAAGCGCAGCCGCAAGTCCTATGTGATGCTACCAAAGAGGCTACCAAACTTCAAGATCAAGAAGGGAGTCAGCTTACTCAAGATGCAGGCCTCGTAGCTGACTCAAATGCTCAAACTCAAACGGCAAACCCAAACTCAAACTCAAACTCAAGCTCAGGTCTGAACTCAAGCTCAAGTTCAAACTCAGGCTCAAACTCAAGCACAAACTCAAACTCAAGCTCAGGTCTGAACTCAAGCTCAAGTTCAAACTCAGGCTCAAACTCAAGCACAAACTCAAACTCAAGCTCAGGTCTGAACTCAAGCTCAAGTTCAAACTCAGGCTCAAACTCAAGCACAAACACAAACTCAAGCTCAAGCTCAAACTCAACCCCAAGACTAACTGTCCAGTGGGAACAAGATGGGCAACCACCAACAGTTCAAGAGAAAACGAACGTCAAAAGCCAAACTACGCAGACTCTTCGTGACGAAGACGAAGACGATGTTGAACTGACAGCTGCAGATGAACACGTCCTCGAGGACTTCAAGAGCGAAGTGGAGTTTCGCGACGAAAAGTACTTCGTGAAAATACCCTTCTACTCCAACGTGGAAGAGGTGCCCGAAAACTTTGACAATGCCATGGCCCTTACAGATAGGGTACACCAGTCCCTGCAGCGGAAAAATCTTGTAGAAAAGTACTCAGCCGTGTTTCAACAGCAAGTCAACGATGGAATCATCGAAGAAATCGACTTGTCTGTTTCAAAAAGACGAGTCTTCATACCACACCACCCGGTTATCAAAACCGACGAGCAGACTACAACCAAGATACGGCCTGTCTTCAATTGCAGCTTCAAGACAACAGGCTCGCCGTCACTCAATGATGCCTGTTTCCCAGGTGTCAACCTGCTCACGAACATGACCAGTCTTCTGCAAAGGTTCCGCACCAACAAGTTCATGATGATGGCTGACATCGAGAAAGCCTTCTTACAAGTTCACCTGAAGTATGAGAGCGACCAGGATCACTTCTGCTTCCTGTGGAAGACTGAAGAGGGCGTGAAAGCGTACAGGTTCAAGACCATTCTCTTTGGACTGAACGCAAGTCCGTTCATCCTCAACCACATCCTTCAACTGCACCTGCAGCGATTCCGCGAGACCGAGGCGATCTCTGCCCTGAAGCAATCCCTGTATGTGGATAACTTCCTTTACACTTCCTCCGACCTGGACAAACTCACCGACATCTACCATGAGAGCATTAAGATACTCAAGGAAGGAGGATTCAACCTCAGAAGTTGGAAGTCGAACCATCCAACCCTGCTGAACACAATGGATAGTGAAGGCACTCTTCACTCACACTCATCATCAAGTGAGAAGACACTCGGTTATCTATATGACACCAAAACTGACACAATGTCACTCGCTGACATTCACTTTGATGACAGCAGGAGGCTGACCAAGCGACGACTGCTGAGCAACGTCAGCCGGGTGTTTGACCCGCTTGCACTCACTCTTCCAGTCACGATCAGGGGTCGCATCCTGATGAAGCAGGTCTGGGATGAAGGAACCGACTGGGATGAAGAGGTTTCATCTGAAGTGAAGGCCGTGTGGGCCAAGCTTCGAGTGGACCTTGAGGCTCTCCAATCACTGACATTCCCGAGACAGACTGCTGATTTAGAATCAGATGATCCGATCACACTCCACGTGTTCTGTGATGGCAGCAGATCATGCTACGGCGTCGCCTGCTACATCAAACAAGGAGAGAAGACATCTCTTGTCTACAGTCACAGCAAGTTAGCCCCTGACAAGAAGAGCATCCCACAAACTGAACTTCTTGCTGTACTGATGGCACTCGATTGTGTTTCAACAATCGCAACTTCACTTAACATCAAGCCAGATGATGTATTCGTATGGTGTGATGCTCAGGTGGTCTTGGAATGGCTTCACAGTGGCACCAAGACCAAGAGCAGATTCACCATCAACAGGCTGAAGACGGCCCAACAGAAGAAAAAGGACCTGGAAACGCTGTTGAACTGTGAAGTGACGTTCAGATACGTCAACACGCTGGACAACGTCGCCGACATGGTCACCAGAGGTATTTCGTACAGAGAGTTCGAAAGAAGCATGCTCACCTGGTTGTCAGGCCCGAGTTGGCTGGCCGACACAGACGCCTGGCCTCAGAACACGCTCAACTGTCTGTCCGAAGCCACCAAACGCGCGATGCAGGTCAACACAAACCTCACAGAACAGCACGATCCAGATACCAGTCAGCAGCTGCTGGACCCTGGTAAATATTCCAGTCTCAAGAGGCTCTACGGTGTCACTGCTCGGGTCTACCACTTCATCAACAAGCTCAAAGGCAGACAGGTAGACTGCTACAAGCAAGCTGAAGACTACTGGATTCGCCGCATGCAGCAGAAGTCGTTCCCAGCAGAACTGCGTTTCCTGCGAGAAAAAGAAAATCAGGCGTCAAAGCCGCCGCCCAAGCTCGTGAACGACCTCAATCTCTTCTTAGATGAGGTTGACATCCTGAGATGTAAAGGGAGGCTGTCACGACTCAACTACTACTCATACTCAACGCTCAATCCTGTGCTGTTAGCGAAGGAACATCAGCTCACTTCACTTCTGATCAACGATCAACACCTCAAGTGCAAGCATCTTGGCATCGGCACTACTCTCACAGCTCTACGAGAACGTGGGTTCTGGATACCAGCTGGACGACAGGTGGTGAAGCGCATACTGAAAGACTGCATCACCTGCAAGAAGCACAACAGTCTCGCATTTTCCTACCCCAAGCTGACAGACCTTCCAAAGGAGAGAGTTCGTTTCCTCAAGCCTTTTCACGATACAGCGATTGATTACACTGGACATATATTTGTCAAAGATGACAATGGAGAGATGAAAAAAGTGTACATCGTTCTCTACACTGACCTGGCCATCAGGTCGGTGCACCTGGATGTAGTACCGGACCTGACGGTGAAGTCATTCATCCAGTCATTTTCTCGCTTCTGCAGCATATATCGTGTTCCCCACACACTCTACACAGACAACGCTAGTTACTTCATTGCAGCTCAGAGGCTGATGGAAAACTTCTTCCTATCAGACGACTTCAGAGAACATCTGGCAAGACTCAACATCATCCACAAGACCATTCCAGCCTACGCAAGCTGGGTGGGTGGCGTTTACGAGCGCCAAGTCAAAACAATCAAACAGTGTCTGCACAAAACAGTAGGTCGTGCAAAACTGACATACTACGAGCTCATCACTCACCTTGCCGCGATTCAAGACATCGTGAACGGGAGACCAATCACATACGTCAACAGTCAACTGGAAGAGATCGAGCCTCTGACTCCCAACAAAATCCTGAAGGTGCACTCCAACCCACGTCTGCGGCTGATCTGCGAAGACGACCGCGACGACCCACTCTGGACTTCAACTCCAGATGACGTGCATCGACAGATGAACAACACACTACAAGAGCAGCAACGGCTGCAAGATAGATACACGAAAATGTGGTACAGTGATTATCTACTGAGTCTGAGAGAAACTTCACGTGACGTGTTCCAGTCCGAGTGGACTGACAAGATATCGGTGGGAGACATTGTTCTGATCGACACGAGGGACCGGCCCAGAGTCTACTGGCAGATGGGACGTGTTCTACAACTCATTCACAGCAACGATGGTCGCGTCCGACAGGTCATCCTGAAGACTGCAAAAGGACAAGGTCGGTATGCCACGCGGTTGTTGTACCCGCTCGAGGTGCGGGCTGTTCACGCTGGGACAGCCGCGGATGGGTGTAACAGTCGAGTGGACGGAAACAGTCTCAGGACAGAACCACCAGCTGACATCTCGCGCCCGAACGTTCGCCCTGCAAGACGAGCGGCAAGTGGACAGAGGCAACTGGTTCAGGATCTGATCCAGTCAGGTTCTTTGTAGAACCTGCAATCAAGCGCACAAACAAGTGTACCACATCATCATCATCATTGTTCACATCATACTTCAATCACACCACTTAACAACAACCAACTCATGACAGAACAAAACACATGACATGCTTGACTCCTCTGTCAAGCATCTCGCCTGGGGAGTGTGAGAATTATTCACCGTCTTCCACTCCTCACATCCTTTCCATGCATATTTCCTAGCCTTGATTCCTCACCAGCGCCACCTATGCCAAATTTGCCCATTTAGTCTCGCTTGGTAGCCGCTAGATGGCAGGAAGTGTGGCTCTAACCGCATCGGTCATAGAAGTGCGTGTCGACTTGACCCTGAAAACCGTTGTCACGTGACTGGCACGATGCCAAAATCAGCTGTTTGTTCAGCTGTTCAAATGAGCTGCGCGGCAGGGTGCGGCACTGAAAAAGTGGCAGATACATACTGGAATCACGGGCAGGGACAGTCTGGAAGCCTCGTGGTTGTTTGAACGCTGTGTGACACAAGAACCAGCAAACTCAAGAATAGTGACGATATCAACCCGATCAAGAAGCCATACTAAAGGTTTACTTTGAGCGTAAAGCCACTGAGTTTTACAAGGATTTGGACACGAGGGCAAGAATTACTGAGTTCTGTACAAACATTCAAGAAGCGCATACCAAGGTAAGCGAGACTAATCAAATTGGCTATCACTGTGGCATAATAATTTCCATTCATCCAAAAATCCTTACAGTCGTTTCCATCCTCAGGAATCAGGATACTGAAATCCTGCTCCTCCACGCCGAAACCCCCACTCCGGGCTGGACAGGCAACTTTATCTCATGCGGGCTGCTCCCTTGGAGCGGCACCGCTGCTCCCGAGGGAGCGCACCCCGTAGCCGGGTGCAGTGATTACCAATTGGGGCTGGTCGGTCTGTCCATTCGGACGGGCTCAGCCCCGGCGACTCTCTAGGGTGCCTGCCCAGACCAATATCTTCCCCTAATTCTTATCACTCGTCCGGCTCTGAAACGGTCTCGTCAGACCGAAAGGGCCTAACCCAACAAAACAAAAACAAACAAGCAGCGTGCGCTAGTCGCAGCTGGGCTGGCTGCCAGCAGCGCCGGCTCTCGATGACACGTCTATGGCGGAGTGGGAATGGGCGTGAATTGGTGCGTATGCCTGTACTTTAGCATAAAAGACCAACAGTGAGCTGTTTCTACTTTGATATATTGAGCCTGACTCTGGAATAGCCACACTTGAGTGGAACGGATCTAATTGGGACGTGAACTAAATCAATGTATGACTAAATAAAGCGGCGGTACATGCATGGATAGATCACTGAGCAGTAAAGTTAAAAATTACAAAAAGGTATTTGTGGCGTACTTATGATCTATAAGCTTTTTGTCAGCGTGCGAGGCCCTACAACTAGCCGCCTTTGTTTTAACATCACGGACGGCACGTATGCCACCCACATGCTGCACACTTCTTTTTATTTGGCCCAATCGCTCTGGAATTTCTCAAACTCCCTGACCGGTCATTGAGTTCGCAAACTCCCTAGTGAATTTGTAAACTCCCTAGTGAGTTTGCAAACTCACTGATGGGTCAGGGAGTTTGCAAACTCACGGATTTCTCAAACTCCCTATAACATACATACTGACCCGTACGCTGCTGTTGAGCTTCTTCCGGACGATGGCCGTCTCATTCTCTGCGTCCTCTGCCCGCCGTGTCAGCTCCTCAACCTGACGGGTCCGCTCGGCCAGACGGCGGGCCAGCAGCTGGGGATAATAGGCAAACGGGACGTTAGAGGGCGCTTCGCACTGTTCACGCACAAAACAGCGACAAAAACCTGACGGCTGACGGGTCCGCTCGGCCAGCCGGCGGGCCAGCCCAGCAGCTGAGGCACGGGGAGGGGGGGGGGGGGGGGCGAGGAGCCAGCGGTAGCGAGTTTATGAGAGTTGACTCAATTATAAGCTGCATTAGCGATCGAAGAAGGACAAAATAAGCTAACCCAGCTCCAACAAACCAAAATCAGCTGAAATTACAAGTATGCTATGCTAAAAACAATAAAACAGTGGATGTTGAGCGAAACAAAGCAACTCATTAGTCAAGTTACTCAGTGTTTCTCATACGACAGATAGCACTGGTCGGCCTGTGGCGTCCCAGAATGCATTCAAAATTGTATCGCGCAGACGACAGGAAAATTAGGTCCCACGATTACCACACCAGCTCCCAGCTGCTGCAAGTCTCCCACCTCTGCCTACCTGTCAGTCCATCAATCCATCTACCCACCTGGTTGTCAGTAGTGCGCGCCTCCCGTCCCTGGTATACGCCAACGATCCCTCTACCCACCTGATTGTCTGTAGTTCGTGCCTCCTGTTCCCGAGCCAGCCGACCGGTGAGGTCTGCCAGCCTGTCCTCCAGCTCCTCCCTGCACGAGCTGAACTGACGCGCCTCAAACTCCGCCGCCTGGGACTGTGGAGGGCCGGTGTTGGAAGGGTTAGACATGGAGCAGCGAGCGGACGGCAGAGTGGGGGTGTACTGACGGCGTTGGGAGGGGGAAAGGCTGCTGTCATCATGTGTCCACGCTACGTATTACTAACTAGCCATAAAGGTCAACACTGGACTGTCAGACAGAAAGATCCAACAGCATGCATACACCAGACGACATTTCGGTTTAAACCAGCGTTAGGAATCAGCGTAGCATGATTTATGAACGGACTTACCGATAAATGTAGCCAACTACGACATTACTAATAATAAGTTATCAGTAACCCTCCTGTAAGACCGTCATCACAAATGAAAACACGACAGGGAGCGTTCCACCAAGTGTCCACCCGGACCTTACCCGCGCCTGGAAGCCCGAGATCTGCGACTGCAGCTCCACGTTCTTCTCGGTGAGTTTCTGGGTGAAGTCGAGCAGGTCGGCCTCCTTGGCGTGACAGCCGTCCAGGTCGGCCTGCAGGTCGGCCTGGGACGCCTGCAGGGCGGCCACCTCCGCCTGTGAGGCGGCCAGACGCTCCCGCTCCCTGTGAGCAGAGCGCGCACGACGTGACAAGGAGATACTGACAGGCTGGACGGAATCGGTATAAATTGGTAATACAGAGAGGAGCCAGGAGTGCAAGCAGCTTCCATCAAGGCATATCACACACCTGAAAAGAAGCTGACAAGAAGTACTTACAAGGATGAGTCAATAGTTGCAAGGAATGACAATCAATGAATGTCTGAAACTAAAAAGTCCAATTTATTGTGACAAGGATATTACGGTGGTATGGTTCAAAGATATTACGGTATGAATACTGCAACATGTTACATCCAGCCCACGACCGTACCCCGTCCGGTATCTTGTCTCTCCAGGTTTGCCCGCGTCTTATTTCGCCCAGCCCCTCACCTCTCTAGTGTAGCTCGCGTCTCGTCCAGCTCGGCCGAGTCGTGCAGCAGTGTCTCCACCTGGTGCCGGAGGGCGGCCACCTCCTCCTGAAGTCGCGCGCGGGCCGCCTCCACCGGCTCCAGGGCCGTCTCAGCCGCCAGCGCCTGGTGGATGGAGGGGCGGGGCCGGGGAGGTCGGTTGGTTGGAGGACGATTCCGAGCGACGTGGTGTGCATTGTGCGTGACGAAAGAATAGGGTGGAAGAGACCGAAGGTAGACAGAGTTGGGCCCGGAGAAAAATTCACCGAGAAGCAAAAACAATACCTGCAAAATTGTTGTCACGTGTTTATATTAGACGGCCAGTCGAGGTAAGTCTATTATTTGGTAGAACTCACATGGTCAACATAACACATAACATGACAACAACTTAATAACATAACAACATAGCTTGACTGCAATCAGCGAAACCCTCTAACAAAACCCCACCACCCGCTGCGCCGCTGTACGACTCACGCGCTCCAGGTTGGCGGCGCTCTCCTGCGCCAGGCGGCTGCAGCGCTCCTGCGCCTCCTGCAGCTGAGCCGTCAGCGCCTGCTCCTTGTTTGTGCTGTCCTGTTTGAGCTTCTCCTCCACCATCCTGCGCGCCTTCTCCTCCCGCAGCTCCTTGTCTGTCGAGGATCGGACGGGAGGCTCAGCGCCGGCGGGGTGCAGACTCGGGCGGGGGGTGGGGAAGCTGGGAGGTGGGCTGGGGTGAGGGGACGAAGGGGAAGTGGGTTGGGACGCACTCGGTCGCCAGACGCCAGCACAGAACGGCCGGGGCACCAGGCGACCGAGGTCACCAGTAGTGAGGTCATCCCAGGTCAGAGGGTGCGGGTGGGAGGTCATGACCTAGGCTGGAGTTGTCAGCTACAAGAGCTGCCTGTCCGCAGTGCTGAGGTAATACACTGTCCTCTCACTGTCCACACCACAGCCGCACTAGACGAGCGGACACTGCCGGAGGGTACTGAGCGGGTCGGCGGCAGTGGCGGCACGGCCCTGACAGTGAGAGTGACACTCCAAATGTCAGCGCAGGGCGGGTTCAGGGGCGAGCCAGCGGCGATGACAGACCAGTGACAGACCGGTGGCAGGCACGGATCGGCCCCGGGGCGTGGCGATGACATGTGCTGGTTGTCAAGGTCATACTCGTTCAGTAGTCACTCACATCCATAGCCTCCATTGGGTGAAAGTGACCGCGACACTGTATGCTAGACGTATGAGAAAATGGTAAAATGGCAAAGGGGTGATGGAATAATTATGGACGACACCAGATTTTGTTTGGTTGGGTTAGGCCCTTTCGGCCTAACGAGACCATTTCAGTGCCGGAATGATGATAGGAATTAGGGGGAAGACATTGGTCTGGGCGGGCACCCTGGTGAGTCGTCGGGGCTGAGCCCATTCAGTGGACAGGCAACCCAGTACCCTGACACTCAGTGCACCTGGCTACGGGCGAGCTCTTAGGGGAGTTCCCGAATGGGATCAAGTTGCCCGTCCAGCGGCGGAACAGGAGACTGAAGCGTGAAGAATTTGACTGTACTGGGGATGGAAGAAACGGAATTGGTGACAACGCTCGAAACTCCTACAGCTACATGTTCTTTCTGTCACACATGACGAAGTCGAGGTGCCAATATTCACAGCACCGGAAAATATGTATCTTACTGTAGCTCCCAAAAACCCTTACCGACCCTCGACTGGTCACGAATTACCAGCAACTCTGCGCTGTCTGTCACCCTACCTAATGCCGATGACCGGTTGTCCTCTGCGAGTTTGTACCGGCGAATCGTCTCCTGGGCCTCCCTCAGTTCCTTCAGCAGCGACTCCATCCGCAACTGACCGTCCTGACGGCGAAGGTCACGGCTTAGCGAAAAAAACTCACTAGACCCGGCCTGATGTCACCGGTTACACGCCAATGGTCAGTATAGGTCCTGCGATTTTTGTACCTGTCACCAAACAGCGATCTAACAGAATCCGAAACAAAACACAATGTGCATAGGTACATAGTCTGTGTACGCGACTGAAGATCAAATCTGAATTGATTTGCTGTCATTCGCAAATCTATCCACAAAAGAAATGAGTTCGATGCTTTAGGATAAGCCACCGCTCAAATCTCCCTTGCTTGTATTGTAATGCAAATACATGGAAAGAGTTCATGACACCTATTGAAAAGATTTAGAAAAGTCCCCTACATAGCACCGAGCTCCTCGAAACGGCAAACAAACCTTGTAGCTGTCTGCCTCCTGTTTCATTTTGTTTTGCAGCCACTTGATTCGGACATCCCGGGA